ATTTTCCTGCAGCTGAAATTGCCTAGTTTTCCACACGGCTGCACAGCTCCACAGCACGGAGAGAGTTAGCGAGGCCAGTCGGCCACTGTGCAAGAGGAGACTGAAAATTTGGTAAATGAAGTAAAAGTAAAGAAACCAAGTACTGACCTGTATCTCCTGGATGCGGAAATCTTCCGGCAAAAGTGAAAGGACCTGATTGGACGCCTGAAGCCGGGGCTAACGCTTTGCTTGAAATGCACATATCGAAAACGGTGTTGGCCGTCCTATTTGAGAGTTTGCTGAATTGTTTGTTGTCGTCTTTGTAGCCATGGTTGCCTTTGCCGGGATCATCAAACGCTTTACACTTTTACAAGTTCTCCTATAGATGTGAGGAGTGTTCTCCATTAGATCACCTTTCCATTTAAAAGGGAGAGAAATCGTGACAATATTGACATATCAATTGCAATGTTTTTCATTGTCTGTGGTGAGTCATTGCGCAGAGCAGGCTGGACCGGCATGTGTGCGGCGGACTACTGAGGAACCGGTTTGTTTCTCCTCTGTTGTTGCGTGACTCCTGTTTGTGTGCCTCACTCAGGACAGCTGCAATATGATCTAATCTTATCCATATTAATTTGTCCTTGGCCAACTCTGCTGTTTTTCTTGTTGTTGCTCCTGAGAGGAGGAGGAGCAGGAGGAGGAGGAGGAGCAGGAGCAGGAGGAGCAGGAGCTCCGACCTCCTTCCTCCTTCCTCCTTCCTGTCCTTTTGTATCTGTTTAACGAACAGTGAAGGGAATCCATTCTGATGGGTTGTGGCTTTTTTCTGTTTTTTTTATTTTTTTTTGGCAGGCATGCAAACTACTTTCCTGATACCATCGTGAATTAGCATTTTTTTTTTTTTTTTTTTTAAATCGTTATCCAGGAAGGCCTCTCGCAGCCCTCAGGGGCAGTGTTGCTCTAGCTGTTAGAGGCAGAAGCTTATAGGGAAGGAGAAGTTTAAAATCATTGGATGTTTAATCCCGAACACCGACGGGCCCTCCGGGGCGGCGCGCTATTTTGGACTTTGACTACGGAGGAAGTTTGAGTTCGAGGGAAAAAAACGTTTTTCGTCAGAGCAAGACCCAGAATCCTCTCTGGCATAGTGACTCACAAAAATGCTTTGCAGAACTATCACAACATGGGGATATACGTATACTATAACAAATCCCATGGACTCAATGAAAAACTTTGTGTTTACCTCTGTCTTCACAGACCATTTTCAATTGCCCAGTTCAAATAAAGCCATTTGGGCGTGTCCACTGATATTGTACAACAAGTTTAGACGGGTGTACACTGACCAAAACGTCCAGCTTCTTAGGTTTACCAAACCCAAAGAGGATGGAGTGGGTGGACAAAAAAACCACACAGTTAATCTCTCTTCGGTGTTCTGCGTGAAGCAATTAATCACACATTGTGAAGTACGCAGAGGCAGTCGGCAAAAGGGGCCCGAAACAAACACCTTCTTTCATAATTTCCGCACACCTACCCACCCCCCCCCGATTGGTCTCAGCGTGCACAGGTCGGCCTCAGCAGTTGCGACCTTGCTGAGGTTCTAAGTGGATCACTCAACTCCTGACTCAAAGCCCAGTCATTGTATAACAGCAGATAAACTGCTACTACGACAAATGATATTTGATTTAAACACACACACACACACATATACAAGCAGACAGCTGGGCACTGAGGCGACTCATGGTCCAGTCAGCATCAGTCAGCATCATCTGTGCTTGTACAACCACTTAGTGTACACACACACACACACACACACACAGAACCCTAGGTCCTTGCTGCATGGTCAAGATATATATAGGAGTGTGACGGTTTGACATTGACTTGCACGACCCTGGAATCACACCCTTGCATTCACATACGCATGCATGTACACACACACGTGCCCACCCACACCCACACACCCACGTATGCATGCAAAGGAATACATGCTTTCAAGCATACAACAATTTGAATTCATAGGGTGAGCGCCGGTGTCTACTGCACTCTGCCAAGGGAGTGACGTGTGTGTGTGTGTGTGTGTGTGTGTGTGTGTGTGTGTGTGTGTGTGTGTGTGTGCGTGTGCGTGCGCGCATAATATCATCATTCAGGAGGCAGCTAGCCCGTTCCGAGCTTTAACCTGTCCTTGTCTGTTCTGTTTGGAGTCAGCAGGATTATCGACACTACACACACACACACACACAGTCAGATGTGTTCATACATACTTGAGTACATACATCCTCCTCTGTCTTATGCCACATAGCTGCATTAAGCTTTTGGGATAAGTTGAGTCAGTTCCTCGCCTTCACACATCCTTTGTGTGGTTTCTTTTCATCTCTCGTCTGTTGTCACTGCCAACATTAGGCCTATTTAACACTCACGCCAGGTCGGGGATGTGTTAACACATCATTTTAATCTGGCAGCACCGGGTCCAATGGCGTGATATGGACTTAAAGTTCAGTCACAAGGAAATTATAAGTGTCTATGTCACCTTGTTTATTGTTTTCCATCCAGTAATTAAAGGACCATACTCTTGGATCGCATGTGGCAGAATTTATGTATTTGGCGACTCCTGGTGGTAATGAAGTCAAACTTCAGCCAGATTTAAATCATATTTTAGTGTCGCAGCTCCCAACATTGTTCTGTATGTCAGAAAATACTGCTAAGTCTTTCTTGTTAGTCGGTTATTTGCCCGGTTCTTTGTCAAACGTGTGATTATGTTTTGATGTGGTGTGGGAAGTGGCAGCAGATTAATAGCCGTACTAACCCGTCCTTGTTTTCGCGTGCTGTTTGTGTGAGCGAGAGAGAGAAATTAATTCAAACTGCTGAGTCACAATCACTTCAGCTCTCAAAGCATGAATAATATTGGAAGCAAAACTGCAGCCGAGCAGAAAGTATGTCTGGTATTGGCTACAGTTCATTTGCAGGACGGCAGACTCAGCTGAACATACGCGATATAGAATATGTTTCTGTTCAGGTGTAAGTTGCACTCTGATTGAATCGGGGGACCGAGTCGCTCCCTTCCTTTCGTTAGTCATAAATCATGAAGTAAATCTTTCCCTTTAGATTCCTGTTGAGACTTTCGTGTGGAGGTGGAAATGCACGTTTGACGGGTGAAAACTGTGGGATTGAAATCGCTTAAAATATTCTCTTGTTGTTGTTTAGAAAGCCACTTCTGCACAGAGAGGTGCGTATCCCCGGTGACCCCGCCCACTCCAACTGTGACAGATAGCTAAACGCAATGAAGTTCAACGTGTCATGACGTATTTAAAGCTTAAAGCTTTCCTCCCAACTCTTTCTTATTCTTCTCCATGAGGAAGAAACGTAGTCCAATGGGGGAAAAAAAGGAAAATAATACTAAATATGAATACATATTTGTTTGTGATGCACTTTAATGATTATGATGATACAGCAGCTTTAAGGACCGTGACTGTCGGGTGTGTAGCCTGAAACGATTGTCTCAGTACACAAATTGGTTGACAAGTACATCATCTAATTCAGCGTCTGTACGTTTCTCTCTCTCCTCTCTTTGTATTCATATTTTTCTATCTCCCCCCCCCCCCCGTCTCGGTCTCACCCTTTCTTCTTCCCCCGACTGTTCCGCCTTAGCCTCCCTAACACCAATTATACTGTGTCAAATCCATGCATGTCAGTTTCCAGATCCCTAATCATCCCTTCTCTCTTTCATCTGCAAATCCTTTGTTCCCCCCCCCCTTCCCCTTCTCCTTCTCTGTAACCTTTCTTCCGCGCTCCTCACCCTACCCCACCCCTCCGTCAGACACACACGGCCCATCCTCCTCGATCCTCTTTCCATTTATCTGTATCACCTTTACTTATCCATCTTCCTTTGAATTTTTTTATTTATTTCCTATTTCAATTTGATACCTTCCTCTTTCCCTCTGGCCCCTTTTCACAGATGAACCGCATTGAGTAAATGTGCTGGCAACGTTATATATATTGGTTTTCATGAATAAGCCCTGAAGGCACTCTTCAGTAGAAGTTGCAAAGATAGTCTTACTCGGTTGGATCTCGTCTCGCCGCTTTTAATGTACTCAACCCAGATTATTATTTTTTTAAATGGCAGCTCATAAAACATACAGTTGACGGAGGCAGGATGACGTTATTGTGTTGCATTATGGGGAAGTGTAGGATCCAGTGTTTTTGGAGCTTGACCCTTGTTGGGGACAAAACGTCAGGAGTCATTTCCGCTTCTGCTGCTTCAGTTTTTTTATTATTATTTTGAGACCTACAACTTCATGACAGTAATGACGCACAGAAAATAAACTAGAGGATCAGGATTGTTATACAATTTATATTGCATTTTCTTTTGGAATCAACAATTGGCAGTCTTTTCTCTCAGTTTCCCAGGCAGAAAAGACACATACGTGTGTGTGTGTGTGTGTGTGCGTGTGCATTGTGACTATAGATAGGGGGGGCAGGGCTAAGAGAGGGAGAGAGAGCTGGAGAGAGGGCGACTGAGGTAGGGGGAGGGGTTTGTTTATTTCAGTTGTGTTTTGTGATGGTAACTGCGCCTCCTGAGCCCACAGGAGGAGAAAAAATAAAGCAGGGAGAGAAAGAGAGAGACGGGGACAGACATGATGCTGAACAGGGGAAGATGGTTGGCGGTATGAGCGGCAGCCGGGAGACGGGAGACAAACGCGGCAAAGGAGGGACGGATGGACGGACACACGGACGGGTAGAGGCAGAGCGCCTGTCAGTCCGCCGCTCGTCGCCCAAACAATGAACGCGCTGTGGTCGCTGCCGGCAACGCATCGCCACGGCAACCGGAGCCAGAGGGGTGCGCACTGTGCGAGAATGGCAGAGAAAGAGAGGATGAGAGGGGGGGGGGGGTTGTAAAGAGAGAGAGAGAGAGAGAGGGTGTCTTCTTCCCCCAATGGACAGATCTGTGTGTGTGTGTGTCTGATCGTGTGTGTGTGTGTGGTCGGTGTGTGTTGGCGCCCACTTGTCTGACACTATGATCTTCTGCAACCATCTAGGTGAATACAAGAAGGATGAGCTGCTGGAGGCGGCGAGGTGAGTACCAGACTCTGCATGCTCTTTGTTTTTACGCCTTAATAAGCTTTTTCCTACTTTCATGCTCCATCCTTTCATGTCTTTCCTCCCCTGCTTCCTTGTTCTCTTCTCTTATTTCCATGCTTACTTTCTTCTCTGCTCCTCTCCAGTTTCTGTTTCCCTTTTCACTCACGTTTGTACTTGTCCCCTTTACTCTCCTCCGCTTCCACTGTTTCGTCTCATTTCCTCTTCATATTTTCATAATTTTCCTCTCGTTTTCTCTTTTGTTCTTGTTTTTATGTTCGTCCTTCTTCCCTTTTCTCACTTCTTTGTTACCTCCCCTTCCTCTCTTCTTTGATCCACTTATGTTTTCCGTTTCCGGTCCTTGTTTTTTCTTGCTTCCTCTCCTCCCTGCATTCTTCATCTCTTCATTTCCTGTCTTTTCCTCTGTCATCCTTTTTCCTTGTTTCCTCCTCTGGATTCCTTCTCTTTTCTGCCTTTTTCCCCGTTCTTGTTTTCGCTGTCTTTCATTTCCTTTCCTCATCTCCCCCCCCCCCCCCCCGTTTCTTATATTGTTTCCTTTTTCTGTCCTTTCTTCTCTTCTCCCTCCGTTTCTTCATCTCTCGAGCTTTCTTCTCTTTTGTTTGTATTCCATCATCTGCTGCTGCCGCCTTCGATTTCCCTTCAACTTGCATTTCTGTGTGTCAAATGGTTTATTACTCGCTCCTTCTTTCCCTCCATCTCTCTCTCACACACACACACACTTACAGTCAGCTCCTACACTAGTCATGTTTTTCAGATCGAGAGAACATGTGGGCCAGGGACACTTGTGTATTTTGGAGGCATGTTATGGTTGCAGGCAGTGCATGTGGGCAAAGTGTGTGTGTTTCAGTGTGCTGCATGTGGAATGCCATAGCTTTCGTTTGGGATTGTGTGGGTGGCTGAGCGCTCAATGGCCCAACAGTGTGTGTCTGTCTCTCTCTCTTCTCTCTCTCTCTCTCTCTCTCTCTCTCTCTCTCTCTCTCTCTCTCTC